ATATTGAAGCAATTAAAAATCAAGTTCATATAATTCCACACTTTGATACAACTAATGATTATTTAGTAAATAAGTATTTGTTCTAAAATTAAATCAGATTAGAATAGTTGCGCATATTTCAAATTATTTCACATTAATTTAAATTTGTATTAAATAGTTAAAACTGAATAAAATTAAAATTTTTAAAATTTTTAAAAAGCAAATAAGTTTAGAAAATTTTAAAATAACTTAATAAACCTATAAAAAAAATAAATCAAGTAATATTAAATAAGTTTGAACTATTTCGAACTTAATAAAGTATATCAAATTTAAAATATCATGTGATAACAGATTTAAATTAGTTTAAACTGTTTCAAACTTAATTATGTATATCAAATTTAAAAATATCATATGATTTCGAATTTGATTAAATCTAAATTTATCTAAAATAATTCGAATTAATTCAAAATAGTTGAATTTAATTTGAAATATATTAAAATAAATTTATTAAATAAAAAAATAAAATATAATAAAATAAATATAAAAAAAAAATAAATAAGAAAAAAAAAATTAAATTTAGTTCAGACATTTTTATATAATCAAAAAAAAATTGTTTATGATTTATCTTAATGCCTAGCATCTTTAGAAAAATTTTGTTGCGGGTTAGTTGGTATTATTGCGGGATTATTCAGAATAACTTAAGTTTGTGTAGTAAGATTTGAATCATTGTGAAGTGTGTCGGATAAAGTTGAATAAGTAGGCAAATATGCAGATATATGAGCAGGAGTAGTTGCGACAGTAACAGTGATATGGGTAGATTTACTCTTTTTGTTGGGACAGAATGATGATATTTTTGTAATTTTTCACTTCTTACTTTTCTTAGCAGGAGCTAGGGGAATTCGAATTCTTCAGCTTCATCTAAAGAATTATTGCCTTCTTCTGGAGGAATAAAGGCAGTCTGTTCAGCTAGTTTATCCTAATTAAATAAAATTACATTAGTTTAAATTATTTTAAAAAATTTAAATTAAATAAATATAATTAATAGTATATTACTTACAATATTTTTCTCCAGTCTTTTTTTCATAACAATATCTTCTATTACCAACTTATTAAAATGAGTTAAACTAAATAGAACCGGTGGTGATCGTCACCGCTATTAAATATTATGCCACGGCGGTGATCATCACCACTATTAAATATTATGCTGCATTTAATCGATCATTAACTTGTGTTATTGTTTATATACGGGGTAGGAATTTAATTGTTTACCAATATATCATAACAAAATGTGATGTAATCGAAACATACCTGAATAAAAGGAAAAAAAAAACGTGATTAGAAAAATGATCTGCTCTTTTTTTTTCCGTTCTAGTTGAAAGTTAACCTGTGATTGTTTGAAATTAACGAAGTTCACCTGTGTAACAAAAGAAAAAACTAAACGTGATATAATACAAGCCTTTCAATAACCTGAAGTAATGGAAGGTTAGTTTGCATATTTAATATCACTTATATGTTAAAATTTTTGTTAACACTCATGAAGACTAAAAAATGCAACTAAATTTATAATAAATAAGGAGACCAACCGGTTACCTTTTTGGAAGAGTTTCAAAACAATATTTCTTTTACAGAGTATGGTGATGGAGATAACTTGGCTGCTATCTGGGCAGGTACGAACAACCAACAAATTTATGGTCATAAAGACATTTGAATAGATGTAAATATTGCAAACAACCAACAAACTTACAATTGGGATGATCTTATAAGCATGAATACCATTTATAACAATATAATTGTTAGAGCAAATCACTCAAATACTATTTTAGACAACTTTTTAACAATTAAAGGAAACCACATAAATACCATTTAAAGTGATTTAAATAACCTTACAAATGTTGGCGAAGATTACTTAGCTGCTATTTATGATAATCCTATAAATATTGAACATCTAGCTACTACTTATGATAATCCTATAGATGTTGAACGTCTAACTACTATTTATGATGATCCTATAAATATTGAAAAGGAACGTCTAGCTACTGTTCAAGATGACACCATAGATGTTGAGGAAAATATAGTTCAAAATGAAAATATTAATGTTACAGAGGACCTTACTATTAATGTTGGGAATTCTTTTCCTTCATGGGAATTGGCTGAATCATATCTTGAAAAGTATGCAAAATTGATGGGATTTCCTTTACATCGTAAGCGTTTTGAAGTTAACAATGTTGGAATCATATGTCATCGAATATTTGAATATGGTTTTGCTGGTGAACCAGTATCTAATAAAGTAGTTAATTCAAGTCGTCAACATAATCGGTTATCTAGAAAAATCAAATGCCAATAGCATATAAACTTTAACATAATGAAATTATCACCGGAAATAAGAGTCACTAGTCTTGTTAATCAGCATAATCATGATTTGTTGCCTGATACGGCTTTATATGATCCTAAGTATCGCAAATTATCAAATGAAATAATAGAAAAAATCAAGTTTTATGTAACTAAAGGAAATATGGATTCGAAACAGATATATCCTTTATTGGTAGCAGGTTTTCCAGAACAGTTTATCTGCAAGAAGGACCTTTATAATGCTATTCAAAAATTTAAAGCACCTTATACCCAATATCAGGGTGATGCACAGCATATAATTAATAAATTGTTAATGTTGAAAAACCAAGAGCCTGGTTGGATTATTAATACAAGGCTTGACCCGTTTGATAACCGACTTGTTGGTTTATTTTGGATGTCACCTATTCAATGTTAATGCCTTATGCGTTATAATGATGTAGTGCAAACAGATAATACATGTCGAACCAATTGGTTCGACATGTATTTGGCTTTATTAGTTGTCGTGGATAATAATACCAAAAGCAGGCTTGTTGTACAATGTTTGTTAGAAGACGAGACGACTAAGAGTTATGAATGGTATCTTAATTGCATTCTACAAGCAACTAATAATAATCCACCAATCTGTATCTTTTCGGATGCTGAGTCAGCACTAATAAATGCAATATCATTAATAATGCCTACTACTCACCATTTTCTTTGTATGTTTCATATCCAAGAGAATCTAAAAAAAAATTTACGAAGTAAACTGGGTCAAAATTTTGAGCCTTTTTATAAAAAATTCTTGTATGCCCAGAACAGCTTATACGAAAATGACTTTCAACATTGTTGGGCTTGTCTACTCGAACAATACCCTCAATTCCAAGAATATCTTAATCATACCTTACACAATTGCTATAGAAAGTGGGCGAAGTGCTTTCAAATCAGATTTTTTACGGCCGGAATTCAAAGTACACAAAGGGTTGAAATAATGAACAAGCTAATTAAAGAAGGTGCCAATAGCACTTCTTCGTTATGCAATTTGCATGATCAAGTTCAACAGTTATTAGACAATGAAGGTCAGTAGGCTCGTCATAATGCATACCTTTAAAGTCTCCCAAGCAATCAAGCACTTTCAGTCGTTGAACCAATATTTCATAAGGTTATAACTTTTCTATTACTTTTTTTTTTCTTTTATATACCAAATTATTATACTATACAGTGGATCTTACGTTATATTATTTGTTGCATGTCTACGTATAATATTTAGGTGTTTGAGCTAATTAAGAAATACCTACCTTCTCATATTTTATCTGTTCAAAAACAACAAATTGAAAGATCTTTATTATATCGTGCAATCTTGATTTCCAAAGAATCGGCTAGTCTTATAGAGGAAGATCTTAACTAGTTGGATTATGATGATGGCTTCCTTGAAAATCAACTTGATAGACCTCAAACGTCTCTCTATTCTCTTTTAGTTAATATACAATCATCTGATATTGTAGAAGTCTGAGAGCTCTTCGGGATTATGAAGTCGTATAAGCATTATGTTATTTGTTTAAATAATAGTGGACATATATGCACTTGTTTGTCCATAATCAATTGTGGACTCGTATATGCACATTTTTTTCAAATTATGATGACTTCAAAGAATGCCAAGTTTAATATTGGTCTGATTGCGAAAAGATAGTATCTAGAAGACATTCAAGATCAAGATGATCAATTAAAATTACAAGAAACTGTAGAGGTATTAACACAATTTTAGCAAAACAATAATGTAGAAATGATGAATGATTTACACTTATTTAATAAATTCAGACCACAATGTGCATTTACAAGTAAAATAAAAAACAAGTGCGAAGGGAAGTTAGATACGCCCAAGGATTCGGAAAGGTTAAGAAAGCCCTTAATTTGGCTCTAGATTTAAATTGTGAAGATGAATTTCTCGATATGATAAGCAACTTTATTACCCGTAAAAAAAGTAGCATAGAAAGCACAAGCAATGAGGAAAATTTATGCGTTTTAGATCCCTTGGTTCAAAAACAACATGGACATCGACCAAATAAATATATTAAATCAGCAACAAAGAAGTCACATCACAGTAGCTCTGGAAACAGCACAATCAACCCACCTGATCCCAATTTGACATCTAGAGTTGCAAATAATAAAAATTAAACAAATACTTATGTCTCTGATCTTTCTGTTCAGAAACGACATAGACGTCCACCAAAATCAGTATCAGAAAAAAAGGCTAACCAAAATAACTCTGATAATGTTTTATTAAATGTATCTGATTAGATACAAATGTACGTACACAACTGATGCAACAATGATATGTATTTAGAAATCCTCTTCGCATTTTTAATAGCAATGATATTCATATTCAAGAAAAAACTGATGAGGATGATACTAATGAGAATGGTGATGATGTGTCTGATTCTGATAAATCATTTATTGTAAATGAAAATGTAGTCAAGCATAAATACGTATGTAAAGCATGTGGCAAATCTGGACATAATATCTGAAAATGTAAATTTCAAGAGTAAATTGAATTATGTAGCGATTTGGTTTTGTTGTCTTATAGTATGCTTATGCATTATATAATAATGGTCTTTATACAATATGTATTGCTTATAATACGTATATATAGAACAATATTACATAGCATTAAATTGTAAATGTAAAATTTGTATTAAAGGCAATAATGTCACGTGAATATTGTGTTGGTACAATGTATATACATACGTATGTAATATGTTGGTTCGAATTTAGCTAAGAAATGAAATTTTAAGTTAATTTGTAATTATTAAGGCTAGAGGTAGAGTGAGGGTTAGATTTTGTGTAGTTATATGGTTCAATATAAGTAAATTCCAATCCAACTTTACAATAGTTCCTGCTTATACGTAATATATACAGTTCATAGTTAGTATAGAAATTAATTGTACGTATATACTGGTATTTAGCACCAAATTAGTTGTCGATCTATATTTTATATATACATTGTTACTATTGTAAATTGGGAGAGCGGATATTGTTGTATGGTTTAGCTCTAATAGATAATGTGGTACAGGTTATAATAATCTAATTTACTGTTAATTAGGGTAAGTATAACTATGGGGACGTTAGTATGTTTATAATAATGATAATGGTGGTTAATCGGACAGGGTAATGCTGTAAGGGCAGATCGAAATAACTTAATTTAATAATAATAAGAAAATAACGTTCTCTTAAACGTACTATAATAAAATCAATAACTTAAAAATAAATTAAAATAACTTAATAGTGATCTAAACATTGATCAATCTATCAATAATAATTTAACACAAGACGAACTCGGTCTGTGTTAGTACATCAATATATCAATTATCTACTATACAGCTCTTAATTACTCAGGGAAAGGTCTATTTGGCCTTAATGCTTACTTCCTTTATGTTAAATAAGAAACCCAGCGTATAGGCTTATTCGTTAATTAACAAACGTGGTGAGGAATCGATTAATTATTTAGCGAATTTAGGGTAGTTTTAATATACTAAGAGCAATTGAAAGATGTTTAATTACAAAGTAATAATGATTTATTTAATAAGATTTTTATTTATAACAATCAATAACTAACTCTCTGAGAAGGCTAAGAGGATTTCTATTTATACATTTTATTTTTATAGGAAATAATTTCACTACTTTCTATTTATAAAGCCTCATAGCATATACACTTTACTAACGTCGCATATATGCTTTACTATCTAAAGCATATACATTCTATATAATATCGCGTATACGCTCCGATTTTCCTCAGCCAACTCAACACATAGCCGATAGCGTATACGCTTTGATCATCATATTCACATAGCCAACAGCATATATGCTTCAATTTCCTTAGTTAATTCCCTAATCTGGCGACAAGCCACATCCCTTTTTCCTTCAAGCCCCACTAAACTAAAACAAATAATTAAATAAAATATAAAAAAAAACTGAACCATGGTTTTGGCTCAGGGACTCTTTTAAAACCCAACAACGTATATATACATATCTGATATGTACATTAAATCTATATTTCACTATTAGTTTTAGGAATGTTAAGTGGTCTGCAGGGGGCTGGTTCCAGACCGGTTCTGGACTAGACTTTTTAGGGACCATCCAGAACTAGTCCGAAACTAATCCAGATAATCATATGATATGAATTGAATGTCATTTTGACTTTTTGAATGAAATTCAATCAAACTTAAATCAAGAACAATACTTTTAATTGCAATAATTTAAGTAAGTATAAATTTCTTTAATTAAATTAGGTATTCTGATTGGTTGTCTTGGTGATTGTTTTTTTTTTTTTTTTTTTTTTTTGCATAATACAGTACAAAATATCAACATTGTATGTTAAACCACTGGAGTTGGACCGGTTTCGGGCAGGGGTTATAAACTAGTTTCTAACTAGTTCAAGACCAAACTTTTTAAGGACCGGACCGGGACTAGACCAAATGAATTTTTTAACATCTCTAGTTTAGGTTGATAATACATACAGTATTAGGACTATCTCATACCAGTATTAAATGTTACGGATGATCGTGAAATTGGATGATTCTAAAATTCACGTAATTACATGATGATCTCCGCTATTATATAGTAATAAATAAAAATTATATTATAACTAGATTTAGTGTTAGTAAACCTACTTTTATGTATTAACAAAAGTTGTTCTTTAGATTGAGATAATTCTAATGATAGCAAAATCATCAAAAATGACTCACTAGATTGTTTGCAATAGTTCTTCAAAGTTTAAATCGCTGTTTTATAATTTGCAAATCATATAAAAACTTTGAAGAGCTATTGCGGCAATCTAGTGGGTCATTTTTGATAATTTTACTATCATTAAAATCATTTTGATCTGAAGAACAACTTTTATTAGTATATAAAAGTAGGTTTACTAATACTAAATCTAGTTTTAAAATATTTTTTAACTTTTACTATATAATAGCGAAGATCATTATGTGATCACGTGAATTTTAACATTATCTGATTTCAGCATCATCCATGACAATAAATATTGTATAGCTGATTTATAGTAATCAGGTTTGTTTTTTTTGATGTTCTTTTTGTTATCTATTGTTTTTTTTTGTTTTTTTATATTATTGTTATGCTTTTTTTGGCCTTTATATTCTTCTATAGTTTTAAATATTTTTCTTTTCTACAATAATAAAGCTAAATCTAAATATACCGTATTATCGCGTAATAACGCGCAGGGGTGAAATTATGAATTTCGGCCTGAACTAAGCTTAATTCGGGCTGAACCTAAAAATAACGCTCATAAGCATTATTACGCGAAAATATGGTAACAAAAAGCTAGCCAATATGAAAATATAAACTTAAATATAGTAAAAAAGATAATTTTGAACATAATTTTTTATAGTTCTCTTTATGAATTTAGAATGTTCTTTTTATCTGCTATAGTGCGTTTAATACACTTTATAGTACTTTGTTTGCTTTTTTTTTTGATATTTTCTCTATAGGCTTTTTGAAATTCTATTCAATAGCCGCTCTACAGTTTTCTGGTTTGTCAATATTCTATGGTAATTTAATATTCTTTTTATGATTCTTGATTTTTTTCTTTATAGTTTTTTGATATTTACACTAATATTCTCTAATATCTTTTTTAGTTTATCAAAACTCTCTTTATGATTTTTAATGATTTTGTGATAGTTTTGTAATGATTTTTCTATAAATTATTTAATATTTTTTTTGCAGTTCTTTAATATTTGTACTAATATTTTTTAATATCTTTTAGCTTATCAAAACTCCTTTTATGATTATTTAATAATCCTGTAATAGTTTTTAATAATTTTTTTTTTACAAACTATTTAATACTTTTTATTGAAGTTTTTTAATATTTATACTAATATTTTTTAATGTTAGTTCATTAAAACTCTTTTTATAATTTTTATTGATTTTGTGATAGTTTTTAATATTTTTTTTTTTATGAACTATTTAATACTTTTTGAGTTCTTTAATATTCACACTAATATTTTCTATAGTGGGGTATCATGGTATTATGAACACTTTTTAAAATTTTATATTGAGCTAAATAAATAAGCTATAAATCTAAAAATTATATAAAATATTATTTAAATC